TTTCTATTCTATTTGGGGCAATTTCGTATCTCTGGTTTAACCACAGAAGTGGTAATACTGCAATTTGGCTATTCTTAGAATAATGGAGCAATATTTTGCAGCCACTCGCCCTTGACAAACGTTACCATTCAACATAGCAAATGCAATACTTTAAAGACATTCCCCTCTATATTATGAAATGTCTATTTACATCAACGCGGCATGTTTATTGTTAGTTATTCCCGACAGAAGACATATTCAGTGTAGCTTGTCCAAATTTTGTCCTCGTTGGGATCATTGCTGGTGTAGGCGCAGGTTCCCGTGGAGCTGCAAGCTACCATGTGGAAGCCCGCCTCTGTCAACTTGTCAAATGCCTGCTCGAGAAAATTATACTTCAGATAGTACCGGGATGTGTATCTCTCCGGGGGCCTGTCCGGGTCTCTGCTCTCATTCAGGGTGTCCCCGAACACTTCTTTGGCCAGAGACGTCTTGCCGCAAACCGTGATGCGAGCCACTCTTCTGAATTTGGCATCGGTTTGGATGTCTCTGCCAATGGTGTAGGAGCCGCGATATCCTATCGTGATGTAGCCTGACTTTCTGGAGTCCAGTGATGGGGAGCGCATGGCTCCGCTGACCGACACGGTGCGTAAAGTATCCATGCCGCCGGAGGAGCCGCACTGCTGCGCACCTTCCTCCGTGTCACTCTGGCTGATCTCTTCGTTGATTGAATTGTCCTTACTCAACCGGGGGCTGAGGCGTTTCGCAAGGTCCCGCAGCTGGAAAAAGTCAGCCTCTCTCTGCAGTCGACTTTTCTCGGGGAAGTAGTCCGGGAGAACCAAGTTCAAGTCTCGGAGATAATCTAGGATGTAGCGGAACAAGAACCCGTCCCTGTCCAAGAAGAAGCGTCCTTTGCTGTCTCTCGCTAACTCCTTGGCTGACTTCTTGCTGAACATGTTCCACAGCAGCGAGTCTGGAACGGCGATGAGAGTTTTGTGTCTGGTAACATAAACCTGTCCGCCGACATTCAGCTCAATAATCTCTGAAAACGGGGAGCCAGAGTCGCCGCAGTTGGATACCCCGCGTTCTGTGTCAGCGAGTGCCATCTTCTCTGAGCCGCTGTGCTGATGTGGGATCAGTGGAAACACTGAGCAACTAAGTGGCAGCAGCTTGTTTATGAAGCCTGGGCTTACCACGTGCATGAGTGCGCGTGCGTGCGTGAAGGGGGGGAGGGGGTGTTGACTACCAAATTAACATTTAACTATAACTTGACTGTCTTGCCAAAAATAAACAAGCAGTCCCGTTGTGTGTGTGTGTGTGTGTGTGTGTGTGTGTGTGTGTGTGTCACATCACTTAAAGCAAGCATCCAAATTTTGTTATGTGTCATTTGTTTTTTTCCTGCGCTGTCTGGCAAAAATATAAATGTAGCCTAAGCTTCCCTCTGATGGTGATTTAATGAAATAAATAATGTGGAGATTTTTTACAAATCCCAAGGGAATACACAAACCCAGAAACCATACAGCTGTCCTGAGTTATTGCAGCTCTGAAATCAGGAAATGGTTGGAAAATATGGAAAGAGTGACACCCATTGCAACTCTGATGGAAATGCAGCCAACACACAGTCTTAACACTTAGAGTTTTTCTCAATGGCTTTGGCAGGATTGTCGAATGACTTGTAAACTTTGTCAAGCTATATGACTATTTATATGAACATTTTGTCAGTTGTTCACATGACTATTAATGATTGCTTTAGCACAAAATGCACTGAGTAAGCCTTGCATATCAAAATACTTTGCATTTGTTTGCAATTGGACAATATTACATAGTGGGAAACCATCACACTTTCAGAGTAGACTGTTATTTGACAAGATGTCTTTGCATTTTGACTGTCTTGGTTTAAGCAATGATAAAGGAAACTTTTGTTTTGATTTATTCATTGATGGATTTATTTACATTTGAAACATGAGTTAATTCTTTTGATTGAGTAATCACTTTTTGCAGACCACATAGAGTGGTGTGCTGAATGTACAACATGGTCTGAGGATTGTACAGTTGAAAGTTTGTTTTAGTAAATGTGCCAAATCGATTGAGAAAAACTGTAAGTTCTCATTATGTAGCCTAACTATGTGAACAGACAGCAGTAATCTTTGAGAACTGGGACAAAACAGGTCTTAGATATACATTTACACATGTTTATTTACATTTTGAAATATATAGCCTACATCAGTCTTAATGTCCCCACAATGGTGATTAATACACATTATATACATATACACACAGATACACCACCTCTGCTACCCAGTAAATTACTGTACATCCATTTAAGTGATGTACATCTATTTGGTTTATCATTTAATTTTAATACACACTGAAGACTTCTGTCCATGAAAGCCATTTAAATGTACAAAATACAATTGTTAGCTGCTTCTATAGTCAAATGTGTACTCTACACAACTGTTAAAGGCCAAAGTATACTCACCAAAAGACCAGTGGAAAGGAAAAATAATGACAATATTTAAGCTTGTGAAGCTCATAAATTAAGACAAAATAACACAATGCAAGACACGCAAAAGAGGCTGTAAGCTATGTGTATTCTTGGGAGGCATGTTGTCCCATCAACTTGATATGGATCGTGAACAGGAATCATTAAATAATACTTTGAGCTAAGTATTATGTTAATTAAAGCAGCAATTAGAGTAGTGAGTCCCAACCAGGGCAACTTGTACCTCAAGGGGTACTCCTCTTGTCGCCAGGGGGTACATGTAAAGCTTTACTAACTAACTCAACCAAAAAATAGAAATTGTGATTTGATTAAAAATATATCTAAGATTTGTGTTAAGGAGGGGAAAAATGGCAACATTGGATTAGTAAGTGGTGTGATGCTGACTCCTAGTAAATGTTCAGTACATGTTGCAGTTGAGAGTGCAAACTAGTTAGCAAGCAAGCAGAGAAGATGAAGAAGTTAGCTGAAAGTAATGGGAAAATGATTTGTTATTTGTTATGAGGATAATAAATGGTTGCCACTTCGAGTCGTAGTAGTACAACTGTGAACGTGACTTAACTGACCTAAACAGTGACAATTCAACTGTATGAAAAAATTATTGTAACAATATACACGTTCAGTGTTAATTAACATCAATTACAATCAATTCAAATAAACATATTTGAACATGATGGGTGGTCGATGAAGTGCTGGTGTCATCTGGGGTGTTGGGTGCTTCGGACAAGTATATATATGTGTGTGTATATATATATGTGTGTGTGTGTGGGTGTGTATTTATATTAGTGGTGGGCATAGCTTAATTTTTTAAATCTAGATTAATCTCACTGTAATCTTGGAATTAATCTAGATTAAAATGGCTCATTTGAATTCTGCCGAAGGCATTCAGGATATGTGTGCTACCCCAATAATGACTAAAAGTAAGTCTTTGAGAACGGGTTTATCAAGCCAGGTGGCGCATTAGACCAGGGGCCAAAATGCATCACACACTGCTTGAGAAAACCATTGGGAAGCTTCTTAAAAATAAATTTTCCTTGAAGCAAACCCGGCGGCTTCATAGCTGCATCCATGTTAGCACGTCACGTTTGACGTGGTAATTTCACAGTAGACATACACGCAGGTTCGAAGACTCGTTCTCGCCCCCTACAGTGCAATTCAGCTAGGTATACATCTGCGCTAACATATCAAGGTGAAAGTCAGCATAGCTTGCGTAGTAGGCCTACATCTGCAGCCTGTTTTCCTGGTCTACTGTGAAGATCCTGTTGGCTGTGAGCATCCTGGTGGTCCAGCCTGCAGCCTAGTGGACTCTGCCCCCCTCCCGCCGTATCTAAATAAGGTAGAATGGCTGCGTTTATTGTACGACGAATGAAACACCTGTTTCAATCGTCCAGACAGTGACTCTTGACGTTTAAACTTCACTAGCTTCTAAACTGTAAAACTTTGACATTTAAAACTTCAGGATGTGTTAAAGTACTAACTAATCTTTTATGTGATCACGACCATGGCACATGGAATAATAAACACAACTCGTCATTCAAAAAAAAAATATTGCTTGAGTGAATTTACTTTCCGTGATTGAAAACAGCTTCTTTCATATAACTCTGTGAAAGTGTGACGTATCCACCTGATTTGTTCTGTTAAGTACTGTGGACTGTATGTGCTGAGGTAGTTTGGCATATCAGACTTGTATGGGCTCCGAGAAAATCGCTGTGCTTCATTCGTCCCGGCTCTCCCCTATAGACCCAGCTCCCAACCCAACTTTGAGAATAGATTAACGGCGATATTTTTTTTTATCGCCCGATAAGAGTCTCACGTTAACGCAGCACGTTAACGCCGATAACGGCCCACCACTAATTTTTATATATATATATATATATATATATATATATATATATATATATATATATATAATCTATAATTTGCTCCACCTTGATTAACTATTTATTAGTGATAAAAACAGAATAATTTAACCATATGAAAGGAGCCATTCTGAATAATGAGTACTTTTATTTTTGATACTTTAATTGCATTTGGCTGATAATACATCTGTACTTTTACTTAAGTAACATTTAGAATTCTTTTTAGATCATGGTATTTGTTTCTAAGGATCTTAGTATTTAGTCCATCACTGAGTCAGAGGGTTTTTCCTCCTGTGTCTATATACAAACTAGGTATTTGTTTACCAACCTACAGCAGTCCTGAGCATGGTCATCATAAACTTTCTGTTACATCGCAACTGAGGTCAAGGTTGCTGCTTTTAGTTATTATTTTCCCAGCTTTTTTAAATCAGACATCATTTTGTCATGTGATTGTCAGTGAGTGGTTTGTGACATTTCCCTGTTCACAACTTCCCATTGCAGACAGCTGGATTGCATTGTCTGGCATCTGAAAAAGACAGAATTGTGAAAGACCTCAGATAATTGTTATTTGACTCTAAACAAAGCCTTCTCACCATTTTGTCATTATATGCTGCCTTATGCCCGCAAGACAATGTCCAGTCATTGTGAAAGTTCCTACTTCTCATCATTGGGGTTTTTTAGCCACTTTGGAAATTTGGAAGACCAGCCTTCAGACAGGAAAATGACTTATAAAAGGGCATGCACTTGGGTGTCTTGTCACTTGAAGACATTGTTGAGCTGCAACAATGCTACGCAAGGTATTGCTGTTTTCTTCTTAGGTTACATTTTCTTAAGCATTTAACTATATGAGGCTCAATGTACATTTTAGAGAGTAGTTTGGGGTTTGAAAACAAATAGATGCAGCATATTTTAACTTCTTAGCCCGGTCAGAAACAAATGTACTCTCTCTGGGGAGGTTTCCATGTTAAGAGTTTTGGACTGACTGGCCTTGTTTTACCTTTCCAGGGTATTACGGAGAGCTTTGGAGCTGCTATCCATGCCCTCAGAACCACTCAGCTGACAGATGGTGTGATTAACAGGAGCAAAAGGATGATGCTGGACACTCTGGGTGTTGGGCTGTTAGGAACCAAGACAGCTGTCTTCAACAAGGCTCTCAAGTACAGCCAGGTACGTTAAACTGCTTGACTGGAGTGAGGATATGCTAAACCTAATACATGTTAACATGGCAATATCATGATAAAATTTTAGTCATGAGAAATATTTAAATAGGCATAACTAAAGTAGGATTGAAAACACCAGTGTGTTGTGTTTATATACCATATCTGAACTATATATTTTTTCTTTGTGTCATCATTAAATCTTTCTTCAATTGGCCAAACTAAAATGCAGCTGACAAATACTACTAATTGCATTAGTGTGACCCACTATAGTGCACTGTTTGGAAGTAATTTGCTTTTCTATAAGATGTTTATATTATAAATCAGCTTTCTGTGCTTCTTCAATAGGACAGTTAGTTGATATAATCCATTGCATGCTGCGATTTGTTCATAATTTTGTTTGTTGGAAATTGGAAACCTCATTACTGAGCTCAGAATGACATCCATAATCTTATCCTCATATCAATTTGTCTGATTGCAGTTGTTCACGTCTGACGAGAGGAGCAGTGTTTGGGGTAACTCAGAGATAACTCTTCCTCCTCACTATGCTGCATTTGTCAATGGCATTGCGGTAAGCTAGGTCAAATAAATGCCTTACAATATATAGAAAACATAAACATGTTATGGTGGTGGTTTGATCTCTGATTATCCATTCTGTCACATTGTTTCGTATTAGGTTCACTCCATGGACTTTGATGACACGTGGCACCCTGCTACTCATCCTTCAGGAGCTGTGCTACCGGCCCTGTTGGCCCTGGCAGAGACACTGCCCAGCCAGCCCTGTGGTCTAGACCTGCTTCTGGCCTTCAACGTTGGCATCGAGGTGCAGGGCAGACTCATGAGGTTCTCCAGAGAGGCCTACAACATCCCTGAAAGGTGAGATATTTAATAATATCTAACCAACATCACACTGTTTGAGTTCTGGGCCAAGTTAATGTGCAGATTTTCTGTCCAATTGTAAGTTAATGTACACTGGAAATTTTAGAATTTTAAAGTGTTGATTGATCCATATGACTAAAGGCCATGCAGATAGTTTCAGTTTTATAGTTTGACGTTTTAGAAGCAGAAGTGGTGAATGGATTTTAGTTTGTGGTACAAGCAGCATTGAAAAAATAAAAATTTTATTATTCAACAGCAACATCTTTCTCCTGAAACAGTGTCCCCGTAATGATAATATACTTCACTGTCAACAGTTTTCATAGAGGCTATTTATTCAGTGGAAACTAGTTCCAGTAAAAATAATTGAAACAAGTCTGTCTATTATTTTTCTCTATATACTATTTCTCTTAAGTCCAAGGTGATGTTTTCAAACTGCTTTTTTTTGTCTTACCAACAGTCTAAAATCCATCCTCAGTTTATGATCACATGAGACAAAGAAAAGCAGCAAACACTCACATTTGATAAACTGGAAGCAGGAAATATTTGGCGTTTATGCCTGAAACGTTACATGATTATATAAATAGTTGCCAGGTAATTTCAGCTGTAATCAAAACTTAAAACTCGAACAGACCCTAATATTTTGGTCATCTTTCTTCCTCTGTCCTGACACTCTCAGATTCCACCCTCCAAGTGTTGTTGGGGTGATAGGATGTGCTGCAGCCTCGGCTAAGCTCCTGGGTCTGTCCCCTGCACAGTGTAGTCATGCTCTGGCTGTCGCAGCCTCCTCTGCTGGGGCTCCCTTGGCCAATGCTGCCACACAGACCAAACCTCTCCATATAGGAAATGCTGCTCGAAGAGGCCTGGAGGCCGCCCATCTGGCCCAGATGGGTCTGGAGGGGAATCCAGCCATCCTGGATTTGGACTGTGGGTTTGGGGTTTACTACAAGGACTACGTCCTTCAGCAATGGCAGTTTCTGCTACAAGTGACTTTAAATGGATTCTAGAAGATCAGGATGTGGCCTTCAAGCGCATCCCTGCTCATCTGGGGATGCACTGGGCTGTGGATGCAGCGCTGGCAGCCCGCGCAAAGCTTGAAAATACAGTCGGGAACTTTGACCTCAGCCAGATCAGGCAGGTCAAACTTCGAGTGCCTCCATCCAAGTACATTGACTGCCCCTTACCTGCTACAGAGCACCAAGCCAGGCACTCATTTCAGTTCAATGCCGGCTCCGCCTTGCTGGATAACAAAGTGACGGTGTCTTCCTTCAGTGAAGAGCAGATTAACCGGCCTGCTCTTAAGGAGCTCTTGTCCAAAGTCAAGGTGGATACACCTAAGGATAACCAACCCAGCTTTGACAAGATGTACTGCGAGGTTGAGATAGAAACACATCAGGGTCAGATCTATGTGGCCAGATGTGATACCTTTTATGGCCACTGGAGGAAGCCACTGAGTCAGAAGGACCTGGTGGGGAAGTTCAGCCTTAATGCTTCTTCAGTGTTGTGCACGGAGGGAGTAGAGGGCGTGATTGATGTGATAGGAACATTGAGAATGTGAGAGAATGCTCAATCTTGGGTTCATATCTGAGAATGACAAGTAGTCAACACAAGCAGTTATACAGCACAAGGAGTTTCTGATTATACGGTATTTGATGAAGCCAGTGTAGTGTGTTATCTGTGTGAAGACATTAAATATTTTAAACGTTTCCACATAGCATGCACAAGAATAAATATCACAGTGTAAATATCTCATCTTTTCTTCCACTAAGTGTGAAATAAAGTGAACTGACAAAGTGAACTGTTTCATTTTATTGCAAATGTGATCAACACTGCCATCATGAGAGTTTAGAGATTTTTGCTAAATAAATTACACCATGCTGGACACATTACTACTCAAACATGTATATTTTATGAGTATCTGGAAGTGCTTTTGATCAAGGAGTTACTGTAACATCATTTCACCATCTTTTAAGTATTCATAGAATCAAGCAAGTTTCAGCACGTCCTGCACCATCACTCCGATTCCATCAAATATCTCGTGTATTGGAGCATTGCACATGAAGGCAGAGGTGGTGACCAGCTTGTTCTTCTCGTCCACGTGGCTCTCGCTGACACTCTTAGACACGTGCTTGCAGCCCAACTGGTTGATGGCGGAGGCGGTGTCTGTAGTGTCTGGGTACCTGAGAGAGAGAGAGAGAGAGAGAGAGAGAGAGAGGCACCACACAGTGTTACACAATATCTGCATGACATTAAATGTGGCTCTGCTAAAATAAGAATTTAAATAGTAAGGATGAAAACTATAAATAAAAGATGAAAAACTATAAAAGTGAAAATGTACATGTAGTATGTCGAAATTTTAGAGCTAACTATATAATAAAATGATGAACACACTTGTGTCCAAATGGCGAAGTGGCTAAGAAAATTAGACAAGCCAGCAGGTTAGACAGATTACTCCACTTTATTTGGAGGTAAAACAGAAAGTAAGCACAACTGAAAAATGTCAGTAATGACCCCTCGTTACACAGGAAAACTGTGTTTTGCACAATTATGGCAAGTCCGGGAGCTCAAAGGATGATGCGTGTTTGCAACTGTCTTTTACCACACACATGATTTCTCCAAGTAAGATTGACTTACCAGACGGTTTGTTTGACTACTTTCTCTCCCTGTCAGAATTTTTTTTTTTGCTATCACCATGTTTTTTTTAGTCTTCAGCCCCAACTAATGCTGACTCAAGTGACAAAAGGCTTTGTTCACCTTTTTTTCCATATGCAGTAGTGCTCCTCAAGACATGTAAACAGACTTTGATGTGTAAAATGGTCTGTGCTCAGGCAAGTTAGACTCACTTGTCATCCTTCTCGATGCCGACGGTGACCTCACAGCCAGGAAAAACCTTAGCAGCCAGAACAGGTGAGATGCAGCAGAGGCCGATGGGTTTACCTTCACCGTGGAACGCCTGCAGCACGGCCTTAACCTCATCATTAACGGAGCAGTCCTTCCCCTGCACTGCCCATGTACAGAGGTTCTTCGCTGCCCCAAAGCCACCTAAAAGACATTGCAAAAATGAGATTAAATTAATACCATAATCACCTGGACTGAAAAGAAATGCAGAAGAAAAGCGCCCAATCAGTTTCACAGGGGTAAAATCAAGGACACTTAAAGTGCTCTTAAACATGAAAAAAACTGTCCTCTGAAAGGTTCAAGCACAAGAGAAAAGATTTTAGTCGGGAATATTAATGGTTTTAAAAATTAATTTAATTATTTCTAAATTCTAAAAGGATGAGATCTCTATTGTGATGTTGTAAACCAAACCTGGGAATATAACAGCGTCATGGTCTTTGACACTGAGTTTAGACAGGTCCTGGATGTTTCCACGGGCTAGCCTCGCGCTCTCCACCAACACGTTTCTCTTCTCCTCAGATGGTTCGCCTTTCAGGTGATTGACCACATGCATCTGGTCATTGTTAGGGGCAAACATGTTTACCTGCAGGGGATGAAGCAAAAAAGGTGAGAACTTTAATTTTAAAAAAAAAAAAAAAAAACACAGGACAGCAAATAATGATTAGTTTCAACTCCTGATATTTTTTCAAAAAATCATTAATTATTCAATCTATAATAAAATTAATAAACAGTCAGAAATACCCATCACAAGTCTCTGAAATCCATGACATAAGCTAATCACTTGTTTTTCAGATCAACATTTCATAACCCAAAAGATATTCAAATGACAATGATATGAAACAGAAAAAAAAGCAGCCAATCTACTCATTGCAAAAGCTGTGACCTGAGAATATTTTGCATTGTTGCTTAATAAAAGACTTATGATCAATCAATTATCAAAATTGTTTTCAGTGAACACTGATTAATTGATCCACACATCCCTGTCACACACACACTTTTTAAGCTTTATTTATTTGAATCCACTCCACTTGCATACACAGGATTCAAAGTGCTATACATTTTTCTACAGAAAACACTACAGCCCCACCGATTTATCATTTTGCAGATATCATCAGCCGATATAAGCTACTTGCAGATATATCTGCATTAGAGTCTGATCCTTCCCACATGTCAGGAGTGTTGCAAAGATTGCCCACCAGAGGGCGTGCTGCAGCTCCTCTATTAACAACACTGCAGCACCACAGAACAAAACATCAACTGATCGCAGTCTACAGAGCTCAGAGCCTGTGTTCTGTCGATATATGCTACCTATAGAGATGTGCTACTTGGCAGTTCTTTGCATGGCTAATGGTTAGGGTTAGACGTTAGCAATTTGCATTAAAAGTAGCATTTTTTGATAAGGAAGCATAAATCGTCAGAGCACCTGCAGAGGGGACTTGTGAATAAACGTGTGCTGAACAAGTATCTAACACACAGTTGCAGGTTTAGACAGTCATGGAGCATTAGATTAATTCAAGGATCAGCGTTTCCTCTGCAACATCTGCAAACAGCAACTGCTATCACAACTAGAGATTGACAAAGTACAACAAATATGCAACGGCAAGGGGGAGCCAGGACAACAGGTCAGCAGGGAGATGATATCATCATCATCCTCCCCACACTCAGAGATTGGGTCCCAAGCCCCAATAACAAGAAGCCCTTACGGCACAGAATCACTCAACATAAGGGTGACTGACGATCACAACCGCAACACGAAGAGAGGTTAGTCAGCTGTAAGAGCCAGTGATACCTGAGGCTCTGGAGACAGCTGAACAAAGACTTAACGCTCTGGCTACCCGCCTAATGAGATACAAGGGAGAAGCAGAAGCCAGGAGAATAAACCGGATGTTCTCCACCGAACCACCCAAAGTGTACTCTCAGTGACAGGGTAATAACACAAGATCAGATCCACCCAGGGCTGAGACCGCATAGTACTGGAAGAAGATATGGGAGAAAGAGGCATCCCACAACACCAATGCTCAGCTAAGAACAGATCACAGCAATCTCCCAGAACAAGATCCAGTAACCATTGCAACGGCAGACATCCAAGAAAGAGTGTCAGGTATGAAGAGCTGGACATGATCCACACCTACTAGCTGAAGAAACTAACTGTACTCCATGAACGCCTGGGAGCCCAAATGAACCAACTGCTGATGGATGGGACCCACCCAGAATGGTTAACCCAAGGACGGACAGTCCTGATCATGAAGGATCCCCAAAAGGGAACAATCGCATCCAACTACTGGCCAATAACCTGCCTCTGCACAACATGGAAGCTCCTGTCAGGCATCATAGCGGCTAAGATGAGTAGGCACATGGCTCAATACATGGACAGGGCCCAGAAGGGAATGGGCAGTAATACCAGGGGAGCCAAGCATCAGCTACTGGCTGATAGAGCAGTCACTCGAGACTGCAAGACCAGGTTCGGAAGTGGAACAACCATCAGTCACCTCCTCTACATGGCTGACATCAAGCTGTATTCCAGAAATGAGCAAGACATCGACTCACTGATCCACACTACCAGGATCTACAGCAACGACATTGGAATGTCGTTCGGACTGGACAAGTGTGGTCGCATTGTTTCAAAAAGAGGGAAAATGATCAGAACCGAGGGGGTTGAACTACCAGAAGGCGACATTGCAGATGTTCAGGACAGCTACAAATACCTTGGGGTGCCGCAGGCTAACGGAAACCATGAGGAGGCAGCAAGGAAGTCCACCACAGCCAAATACCTACAGAGAGTAAGGCACGTCCTGAAAAGTCAGCTGAATGGGAAAAACAAGATCCGAGCCATCAACACATACGCCCTGCCAGTCATCTGATACCCCGCTGGTATAATAAACTGGCCAAAGGAGGAGATACAGTATGGGCTGGAAGTCCCAAGGTCAAAATGGAAGACACCTCCTAAGGTAGTTGAGAATGACCCAGCAAAGATCCTGTGCGACTGTTTATCCTGTTTATCATTATTATGATAGCAATGACATGAGAGATGATATATGGTATTATTATTATTTTTTAGTAGTAGTGCTATATTGGTATTTTTTATAGTTTCTGTTTCGCTGACCCCCACAATACATACACTATTTAATTTAATGTTCATTAGTATTAGTACTTTATAATTTATAATAAATCAGATATTTAAAAAATGTTTTCTGTAGTTTTATAAATTTTTTATACAGGTTCTTTTTATACAAGTTTTTCTCAAAGCAAAACTCACATGACCATATGTAAATTGAAAAGGTTATTAATTGCTTAAGTTATTCCTGGACATGAAGAGATCTATCTCCAGTGGAAGAAGACTGGGGACAAAACTCTGCAGTCCCTATTCTGTGTTTATTCTTGAGTTTAGCTGAAGATACATCTGAGGCATCAACAGTCTCAGTTAGGCAATTCAAGTGGGTGTTGTGAAAATTTGCAGTCTTTTTAGTATAAAATCCCCTTTTTTCGTTTTCCTGTAAAGTGTTTCCTTCCAGATGGATGGTAACACAGAGAGGGAATTTCATACCAAAAAGACATTTGGAAGATACTTATTTCATTTGTGTAACTCAGACTGCTGAAGCCTCATATTACCTCTAGCTGAATACTGTATTTTGTTTTTTCACATGACAAGGACAGTGGATTTTGTGCATCACTGGAATCACGTTAAGAAGGGAACTCTTTCCGGCCAGTATAGTCAGGACTAATACTAATAACTCTTAAATGTATATTTGGGCATGTGAGTATTGTTTTAATACAGAAAAATCTGAACTCATCCTTTAAAACCAGTACTGTAGCAAAGTTTATCAGAGTCAGAGTGCTTCAAATAATGTGGATGGCAGTTTTTATAGTTACAAAAAAGGAAAGGTATATTGTACTTGGTATGCAACACTGTCACAGTAATGTAGTGAATGAAGTGAAGCATCCACTGCTGACTCAAGGCATTGTTAATACATCTTTAGGATTATCTCTGTATATTGCGCATATTCTTTATACGGTACTGTAGCACAGTGGTTCTGAAACTTGATAAGATTTTGTCCCATGGTCTCCTATCTTTTTGCTTTTAGATGTTTTATTACAGAAAGTCAGACATTCTGTCACATTATGGGTGGAATAAATAAGTAAAGAATGGTGGGTAAAATATTAAGTTTTAAATGTACGATTGCAGTTTCAACTTTTTGCTGGGGACCCTGTGGGGGTCCCTGGACCCCACTTTGAGAACCATTGCTTGAGCACATTCCTTGGTCAATATTTTGCACGTTTCATCCTCTTCATTTCAAACATGGTAGAGTTCTTTTCATTTAAAAAATTATTTTACATTTTTAAAATATATTTTTATTGTAAATGTTTCTCTTTTATATGTGTGATTATTGTCTTTTGCTGTACTTGCTTTATATTTTTATTTTCTCTTACTAGGTGTAATTTTATGCATAATAAGACCAAGACAATTTCCTTATATGTGAAAGCTAGTGGTGGAAAGTAACTTAACTTGAGTAATTTCTTTTCATACCACTTTCTACTTAACTCTATTAAAAATATTGTACTTTTTACTTCACAACATTTATAAAACATAAACAT